GGGCGTGGTCATCGTGCTGCACCTGCGCGCGCTCCAGGTAAATGAGTGACACGCTGGGTTTCAGCGCTTGCTTCCAAACAAAAGCGGTCCGGAAGTGATAAGGCAAAACGGCACAGGTAAATACTACATTTATTCTAATTTATAGGCCTTATACACCACTTTATACATATTAAATCGGGCGTAGCATAGTTTAAGTATAGCGTTTAGTAAAATTAAGTATCATTTCAGCAAAACATCAAAGTCTTAGTTGCGTGTTGCACCTTAGCGATCGTGACGATTTCAAGTCATTAGACGTTTGATAGCGGATCCAGCTCTGTTCGGAGACATGATAGTGAAGGATTTTTCTCTTTTAAATGGTGTATATGAACGTGAAATGCATTACCTCTTCTCTCTACGCTGAAGGCCTGAGATGGACCGTTACAGGTATTTTATCTTCAATCAGAAGAGTGTGGTGGTCCTCGGCATCCTTCAGGTGGCGTGCGCGGGGCTTTGCGTGGTTTGCGGATTTATGGATGCGGTCTTCCGCAAGAGCACTACTCTGAGTGAAACTAGGGCTCCACTCTGGGCTGGACTGGTGAGAAACCTTAAAACAGACCATTTATTTACTTTAATGTGACTTACCGTAGTTATAGTTCCCACGTTAATCTATAATTCACCATCCCAGTTTTCCAGTATTGTGTAGCAAACTGGGACAGAGTCAAAGTCAGGTAAAAAAAGTTATGTTAGGAAAAATAGAATTAGCGTTTGTATCTCATTAAAACGGATCACATTTAGCTATTGTATAATTTTTGCATGACTTTCCTTTTGTAGCCATTTACTGTAAATGTTAGGAAAAATGCTTTTGTGTTCTCTCTGTAAGATTGCATGCCCCGAGAAACTTTGCATTCTCTTCCAAAACCTCTGAAATATAGTTTTTTTTCTCATATTATTTACATCACAAAGGTTTGCGAGCAAATCTGAAGTTTCTTAGGGGAATACAAAGGTTTTGTGAGAAAATACAAAAGCATTTATGTTTTTTTTTTCTCTCGTCTCATTTTATTTACCATCACCCTTGAGATGCTCTGTGATTCTATAAAGATTATTTTACTTTTTCCTCCTCCTTTAGATTATGGCTGCCCCTGGTGTACTTGCCCTCTTTGCATCCCAGAAGAAAACCCCAATTTTGGTAATTTCTGATCCGTCTAATCCACAGTATTTCTCCTCACGGTTGTCTCTTTCTACCTGTTGATATTAACATGTTCTCATTAATATGTTTAGGTAAATGTCATGATCGCATCATCTGTGATGTCACTTTTTGCTGTTGTGATTGTCTTCGTTTATGCTTGCGTCACTCTCAGCTATGGAGAAGAGGATGATGAGGTCTTTCATGCCCATCCTATCCCTGAAGTGGTACAGTCACACCAGATTATGTTTACTCTCCCATACATTAAACGCTCAGCTTAAAACATACAAATGGTTGATAGAGCAGTGTCTTGTGTAGAGGTTCGTGCTCAGCCGGATGGTGAAAGGAGCAAACAGCACCCTTCTGGTGGCCTGCGTGGGGTCTTTGCTCTTTTCTTCTCTCATTGCTTATGTCGGCTGCCGCAGTCTGCCGCTTTGCGGCTGCTACAACTCCGCAAATGGCATGGTGGGTGAAATTTTATGTAAGACAAGAAAGTGCAGTATTTTTAAGTATATAGTATGCAAGATTGAGCTGATAATTACTGCATGGTTGTGTATTTTACAGGAGTTTCTAGTTCCTCAGAATGACCCTGTTACTCCAACTGAACTTGTATGCACTTGGCAAGGTACGTGAGAGATGTGGTGTTCGAGTGGCTTTAGATACTGAGATAACGAAATCATATTTCATAAGTCATCTGCTATATGAGCCACAACGTATGTCATTATGATGATGTTAGTGAGGATGTGATGTGGCCAACTGTAATGAGGTTTTATTTTGCCTCTTGCAGACGGAGATGAGCGAATCTTTCACTCCCCCATGTCATTCATTGATCGCTGTCCTGAGCAGGAACAGCAAGACCTCTCCACGCTTCCACCGTATAGCAGAATAGCTTAGTAATTTGTTTTTTTAATGTGAAATATTGGTAAATATAATTAATTTTCCCCATAAAGTGAAAAATGTCCAGATTTCATCAAGCCTGCTTGTTTCAAATCAACTTAAATTTGTTTCTTGATTTTTAAGTTCTTATCAGTGCCATATTTTATATTATCTTTTGTGGTTTTTTAGCTTTATACTTTTTACATGATAGACTGATATTTTTGCACATGTAAACCTATATGGATATATTTTACAATAAACAATATATAACAAATTAAGTGTGCTATTTGCCTCTTTATGAATTTACAAACCATTCATTTCAATGGATGTTCAGATAACATACCAAGGGACAGTATCATTTTTGCAATGTTATTACTTTATAATAAGTCTCTAGTCTGAACATTAAGTTCCCATATGTGATCCTGGACCACAAAACCAGTCATAAGGGTCCATTTTTTTAAATTTATATTTATACACCATCTGAAAGGTGAATACATAAGCTTTCCATTGATGTATGGTTTGTTAGGATAGGACAATATTTGGCTGAGATACAACTATTTTATATGAAAATCTGGAATCTGAGGCTGCAAAAAAATCTAAATATTGAGAAAATCACCTTTGAAGTTGTCCAAGTGAAGTTCTTAGCGATACTAATACTTGATACTAATCAAATTAAGTTTTTATATATTTATGGTAGGAAAATTACAAAATATCTTTATGGAACATGATCTTTACTTAATATCCTAATGATTTTTGGCATCAAAGAAAAATCGATAGTTTTGACCCATACAATGTATTGTTGGCTATTGCAACAAATATCAGATATATTTGTAGCAATAGCTAGCCGTGCTACTTAAGACTGGTTTTGTGGTCAAGGGTCACATATGCACTTTTATTAGACAAATAAGGCACAACGCTAGTCAGCTGAAATTCAAAGATGTGGTACTTTATTTTTTTAGTAAAACACTGAAACCGTTAAAACCAAAACTGCAACAAGCATTGATCTTCTGCACTCCTTTGATTATAGTGCATTGATGGTTTGTTTATTTTCCCAAAACTATGTCACTAACTCACTGACCAACATTTGAAGGCATGAGTATCAGACTAATCTGTTTTTGTAGATTTGAGATCTGCTCATATTTCACATTGTTAACTATGTTATTAATGTGTTAATGAAGACAGAAAAAAACTAATTCTGAAGGACACTTAAAATGGTACATTGGGTGAAGCGAAAAATCAGTACAGACAACAGTGGAGAGAATCCAGACCAAGAATATGTTTTTATCAAGACCAGTTCAACATGAACCTACAAAAATCATCAAAGCTCATGTTGTTTCTGGCAGATTGATTAGATATGAACCTTCTTTAAGCACCCAGAGTCAAACGTTAAGCACAAATAGACAAGTCTTAGTGTGCATTCAACATGTTGTATTTAAATATTTAAGAGTCATCATTAACCGTGCACAATTCCTCAACTAATCACATGCTCCCCTATTGTACCCGAATCAAACAACGCAATGCATCAGCTAATCAGGCCCTTAACCAACTTCAAAAAATGAACCAGAAATCATATGCAAAACCTCTTTTTGGCAATTCCCCATAAAACACATAAAGCATGTGATGTCTGAGCTTCTTTCATGCACTCCACAGGACCAGCTGTGGTTACATAAAGACATGAGTGAATATTCCCTGTAATGGATTGAACTCTGTTCTGCATATCAGTGTTGCAAAGAAGATGGCCGAAGGGAAAGACAATTTATCCATTAGCATATCTGTATATTTTTACTGATAGATTACATACTGAAATATAGACTGATATCAGACCCTTTGTTCAGATTTATGCCATGCACAGAGCAGATGCCATGAATAATATGAGGTACTAATCTGTTATTATACAGTACAGATCATTTTCATTTTGCCTAACAAAGCAGTACTACATACAAATCCTGGCTGTGGACACTAAAGTAGATATTGTCAGCGAATTCTTGTCTCTTTTTACGTAACTTATCAACATTTTGACATGATTCACAGGAAGGACTGGTTATCATGCATAACCCAGATGTCTTTACAGTAGATTTTATTCAGATGAATGGCTGCTAGAAGAAAATAAATTGACAATAAATAAAACACTGGCAGTGGACTAGGACTGGCTCCTTTTTTGGGGGGAAAAAAAAGTATATCAGCTTTATTTTACTTTTAAATTCATCTCACATTTGTCTAATATCTATTAGCAGCACTAATAAATAACCTGCATTTAAGTGTTTTTTTCGTCGGTTTCTCTTTTCTCTTGAGAGAACTGACAACTTTCACAGGAAGTGTCTGCATGTGTGTGGGTGACATAGAATGAGAGAACAAACAACAAACACACACTAAACCAGAATTACCTTGGAGGCTGAAGTGATTTAACAGAATAGTTTATCTAATTGCGGCAAAAATTGTTTAAAAAATATGATGAAAAAGGCAACATGTTATGCATGAAGGTTTCACTGTTCAATTCACCTGCAGAACTGCAAAAATCTAGAAAATGTAATGCATGATTGGCAGTGGCATATGATATGAACTAGACAGGCTGACACATAATAGATGAAGCTTGTATATGTAAGGCAAATGGGCCTACATGCAACTTCTCAAAGCCTCTGGTTTGAGTGATGGAGGAAAGTTTTTTCCCTTTAAAATAATGGCCAGATCAGGTACAAAAAGAAATCTTGAGAATAGATGTTCTTGTGTCCTCAACCCTTCATGGATAACACAAAAGCACCTCTGAATCTGCTTCTTTAAAAAGTGCTTCACCTTTGTCATCTCCATCCTGTAAGTGGTGATTCCTTCATTAGCTCCTCCAACATCCACAGCCCCAAGTTCCCCTGTCCTCCTCGTCCTGTCTCCTGAGAGTGACAGTATCTCCTGATCTGCACGGTGGTTGGCTTAACACCAGCGGCTTCTGAGATTTCAGCTTGTGCGCCACCGTCATAAAAATGGCCTCCACGTGGTCACTATTATTCCGACCGCCGTCGTCGTTTCCGTAGGGGTTCTTGGCAGAGGTCTCGAACAGAGGCATTGAGTGTGCATCAGCGAACTGCTGCGCTACGTCGGTACTTACTTGAGCGGCATGCCGCAGGTCGCATTTGTTGCCGACCAAGATTCTAGGCACCTCTTGGCCCAAGGCATGCTGACGGCACTCCTCGATCCACGCCGGAAGACTTCGGAAACTAGCGGCATTGGTGACATCGTAGACAAACACCACAGCGTGGACGTTGCGGTAATAGTGCTGCACCATACTCTTTCGAAAGCGCTCCTGGCCTGCGGTGTCCCACAACTGGACCTGGTAGAGGGGGAAAAAGGAGAGCTATTAGCTGTCAACTTATATCATACATGCATATGTGTCCTTTTAAAGGGATACTTCACCCAAAAATGAAAATTCTGTCATTAATTACTCAGCCTCATGTTGTTCCAAACCCGTTAAGACCTTCGTTCATCTTCGGAACACAAATTAAGATATTTTTGATTAAATCCAAGAGCTTTCTGCACAGACAGCAACGCAACTGAAATGTTCCCAGGTCCAGAAACGTAGCAAGGACTTCATAAAATTACGGCTGAACCCCTGATGTCACATGGACTATTTTAATGTTGTCCTTGCTACATTTCTGGACCTGGGAACATTTCAGTTGTATTGCTATCTATGCAGGGTCAGAAAGCTCTCAGATTTCATCAAAAATATCTTAATTTGTGTAAAACAATGTAGTACATGCATGATGGTTTATATTGACAACTGATATTCATACACAAGTATTCTGCTATATTGTTATAAAAACATTACTGATTTAATTGTGTGAATAAAATCATACTCTATGGGCCATAAAAGCCTTGTGTATCAAATATGGTACAAAACAGAAAACACACAAACTTTATTTACATTATATCTAAAGGTTCAATAAACTAATCTATTTTAAAAGAGACTGACTAATAATTCGTGTGTCAGGCTTTACAGGATGACATTAACACATATTGAGTAAATTTGCTAAATAAAGTCCTGAAATCAGAAGCATCCTCACCTTGATTTTCTCGCCGTCTATTTCAATAACCTTCTCCCGAAAATCCACCCCGATAGTGGCCTCAGTCTTGTCTGGAAACTTGCCTGCACAGAATCTATAGGTGAGGCAAGTCTTGCCAACTCCAGAGTCTCCTATCACGATGATCTTAAAGATTCGAGTCCGCGGCGGAGGCAGCGAAGAGCTGGTCAAAGATGAGCTAAATTCGAAGGAGGACTCGATATCAGCCATGCTGTATTCTTATAGACAAACGAGTGCCTCAGAGAATGGCACCGTGCAAATGTGCTGATGCAAACGCAGGCTTAGTTTAACCTTAAGCCCTTCACCTCAAGCTTCATGTGCAAGACTTAGAGATTCAAACGTCGGGGACTGTATTTGACGTGTTGACCGGTAGACTCCGCATTTTGCTGATGCATTCCTGGCGGAGTCTTCTTACACTGTTTGGGTCTGTCTGTAACCACGTACGACGTTGAGTTGACATAACTGTAATCTCGCGAGAAGTCACATAATACTGAGAGCGTTTTGTGTGGTACTTCCAAACAATACAATACACACAAAAGAGCATAACAAAACTGAAACTTACCAGTGTAAACAGAGCACACAAAACAAACACACACACACACACACACACTAAATAAATAAATATGGAAGTTATTCTATTATATTCTATTGTAATATATGCATGTATTATAAAAAAGGGGGTGGAAGTTTTTACTTCTTTGCAGTGACTTGATATTTATTATTTTAACATTGCAGGAGAATTGCACTAAAAAGATTTAGTCGAGTTTGTTTACTGATTCGTTCCCTTAAAAGCTTTGTTAAAAACACCGATTCGTTCACGAAAGAATCTTCACTAGTCGTGTGGCTAAAAGTAAACAGTGCAGTGACACTTTCAAAGTCCAACTCTAGGTTTATTTACTGGACGACTGCAGAAAATGTTGGTAAGTTCTCATGATGTGCGACTGCTTTAAAATTAATAACACCCCATATATATATATATATA